CACACACACATATACACACACACATACACACACACACATACACACACACACAACACACACAACCACAACACACACACACCACACACCACACACACACATATATATATATATATATATATATATATATATATATATATATATTCCTCAGATGATATTATTTTTAATGATCATCTCTTATGTATCCAAATATGCTAGTGTGTGTGTATGTTTCTGTGAGCTGTTGTGTTTCTGTTTATACTAATACACACTCATTAATATCAAGTTGGACACTCATGAATTGGTTCATTGAGCCAGTACATATGGGGATTTAATTGAAACATCTTTGGTATGCTGTGGTAAATGTGCTTGCTTGTCTAAAAGTTCCATGTCTGTGAGATATATTAATTAGAGAGAAGGGCCTTTGTAAAGGAACTTTGAAAGTTGGCTAACAATATATTCTCATGAGGATGGCATGCGCGTGTGCGTGTAAACATTTGTACCAAGCCTTGAGCGGACCAAAGATCACCTGAGTGGGCGCATGGACTGAACAGCCTGGCAGACCTTGCGGTTGATCTCTGGCACAGCCAAGAGGCAACGTCTTAAACAACCGAAGGCTCCCTTCTGTGCTGGTCGGTCAATGAGGTTCAGCCATGCTCTAGTAGTCGAGCCAAGTAGCATACCATCATCATCATCATCATCATAGGGGAGCTAACGCCGATGGGTCGCATAGCCGCATCCACCCTTCGTTTCCACCTACGAGGATCCCTCATGGCAAGCCGCCAGGCAGGGTATCGGCCCATCTCGAGTTCTCACGACAGGTTTGATCGATATGCCCAAGCCACGACTTCCTAGGTCGTGTCAAAGGCCTCCACCCATGACTGTCTCCTACAGAGATAACCTGGTGGGCAGGATCATCTTCTGGGAGGCGAGCCCGGTGTCCGTATAGCCTGAATTGGCGATCATGGATAATGCAAGCAAAAGGTCCTTTGCCAGTCTCATGGTGCAACCGTCAGCTGGACACGTGGTCCCGCCAGCAGAACCCCATGATCAGGCGCAAGAACCTATAAAAAAAAAGCATAATAAAATAAACCTATTAAAAAAGGCATCAAACTGAGACTCCAAGGCGCTGGATTATGTCCAGGTTTCACTACAGTATAGTAAAACTGACATTATAGGGCCTTGAAAACACGAAGCTTGGTCCTTCTGCACAGGTACCGGCATCTCCAAATACTCTTGTCGCGAGAGTTCATGACCCCTGCAGTCAGGCCAATCCGTTTACTGACTTCCTGGTCTGACAGCCCTGAGTAATGAACTCTACTAAGGTAGAGTAAAGCTCTCTGTGACTTCAATGTCCTCAACGCAAGCACATACCAACTTCGCAGGTTCGCTTAGCAAGTCCCCAAAGTCCTGGATCCTGGTCTTGGTCCAGAAAACCTTTAGACCCAAGGGCTTCACTTCATTACTAAATGTATCCTGAGCCACCAGTAAGGTTTCTAAAGACTCCGATAGAATAGCAACATTATCAGCAAAGTCAGGGTCAGTAACCTTGATATTGCCCAGAGTTGCTCCACAATGGCTTTGAACATTAACTTTGCCCATTATCCAATCCATGCAATTGTTGAAAAGTGTTGGTGAAAGGACACAGCCTTGCCTCACTGGGTTGGCCTCACTCCTGAACTAAAAAGAAAGAAGCTCGACAGGCCCCCACCACACTTTACAGCACTTTCAGCACCAGTATACAGGCATGCTATTTGTCCGATAATCCTTGTTGGTATTCCTCTCAGTCTCAGGATCTCCCAGAGTGATTTTCGATGCACCCTATCGAATGCCTTCTTGAGGTCAATACAAGCTGCATGGAGCCCACACTCGAATCATTGGTGTCACTCTACAATGGCTCGAAGCGCCTGGATAGTCTAGTGTGGACTTAACAGGAATGAATCCAGATTGCTTGCCTCAGCAAGTGGTCTCTCGTACATCTTAGAAGGATGTGGGTGAGAACCTTGCCTGATATACTGAGCTGTGTGATGCAGGTACCCGCTGCTTTGCCATGCTTCAGTTTGGAGATTGCCCTCCTAGCTTCAGTTGGGGAAGGTGAATCCTCACTGATGTGTGGGTCCGACAATGGAATCTGGCAAGTACCTGAATCCAACTTAACTGTTGGTGGATCAACCTGGTACAAATGCTCAAAATACCCAGCCCAATGCTCCTTACATATATCTCGCCAAGGACAAGTGTCTGACACAGATGTAAGTTTGGCGAAGAACATCTCTTTCACGTCGAGTTAACAAACATTGGTAGGAGTGTACTGAGCAGTAAGAGACATGAATCCAAATGCTAGCTTGTCTCAATACCAGTGAACTACAGGGCTGAAGTCTGCTGGAAAATGGTATGGCTAACTCCCTGAAGATGGTAACCAACACTGAGGCCTGACCAGTAATAGATGTAGCCACCTACACTAATCGTGCTGCTGACAGGCCTCAACTCTGAAAGGCAAACCACCTCAACTCTCAGCTCCCAAGCT